AGCCCGGCCGCGCGGGCGGGTGCTAACCGCTGCTTCTCTCTTGCTCTTCCAGTCAGCACCGAGCTGAGTCAGGGCTGTGCCAGAGGCTGTGACCTGTGCTCTGAGTTCAATGGGTGCCTGAGATGTTCCCCCAAACTCTTCATCCTTCTGGAGAGGAACGACATCCGGCAAATTGGGATTTGCCTACCATCTTGTCCACTGGGATACTTTGGCCTTCGCAATACAGACATGAACAAGTGCATCAGTGAGTACGGGGGTGGGAGGGAACGGGCAAAATGTGGGAGGGGGGCAGTGCTTTGCGGTGCTTTGCAGGGGGTCATGCTGCCGCGGGTCAGCGGGGAGGAGGTGCTGTGGCTGTAGCGAAGGGGAGAAGGCGGTGCTGAGCAGGGCAGTGATCTGTCCGGGGAAGAACCCCGTAATTTGTGCTGATGTTGGCTAACGCACCTTGGGTGCCCAGGCGCTTCCCCGCTGCGGCACTGTGCAGCCTGCGCAGCCGGTGCGGCGCGCAGCCAGGCTGAGATGCTCCTTCCCTTTAAGCAGCCACTAGACACTGCCCGAACAGTGCCCTCGGAAGCTGCGTAGACATCCGCTGCTCCCACATCAGCCCTTCCAAGCAGGTTTTGACTTGAGTTTCGGCCTTCTTGCCCTTCTTGGTCTTGGAGAGCCTCTGTGGGTCTCTCTGTGCTGTGGGCAGGTGGTGGCTAATGGACCGGTGGTCCGTTAGAGCAGAGGGCCACTGGTGAAGCCTTCAGGGCTGCGTTACCCCATCGCAGCATGCTCAGCACTGCCCAGATATGCTGTGGATGTGGCATCCTGCAGGACATTTGGGAAGCTCTGTTAACCTGGGCTGCCAGACTGGCGGCATTTTCTTTGGGAGGAAGGAGAAGAAGGGAGATCCTTTCAGTTTTTAAGGTCCTGCTCGCACAATTACCTCTTCTTCTCTCCTCTGCCCATTCACCATAGCCAAGCAGCTCCCTGAACAAGATCCTTGGCCTGAGGCTGCCTCTTTCAGCCAGAACACCAGAAATAAGCTGGACATGGGAAAAATTGATCACTTCCCTGGCAGTTTCATGCAAATCACCCTCACGGCCAGATTTCCTAACAACTCCGTTTCTTTGCAGGCCGTACTGTAGCTGCGGCTGGAGCAGCTGATACGGGACTTTATCCTCTGCACTGTCCCACTTTGGCTGACTGACGCTCAAGCTGAACGCCAGCCCAGACCTTTTCCACCCTGCCTGATTTCGATCTGGCAGTGGCTGCTGCTGGCTATGAGAGCTGCAGCACAGGGGCTCTGTCCTATACCAGGAACGGTGCAAAGAAAACTGACTTCCGAGTAGCACAGGCAGGCCCGGCAGGACAGTCAGAGGCTCGCCCTAGCTGCTGGCAGGCCCCTCGGAGCCAGGAGCAAACTCCAGTTAGCAGTCGAGAGCTTCCTGAGTCTTTTGCTCACATCAGACTACATGACAGCTCTGTTTTTTTTCCCCAGAATGCAAAATTGAGAACTGTGAGTCCTGTTTCAGTCGAAACTTTTGCACAAAATGTAAGGAAGGTTTGTATTTGCACAAAGGGAGATGTTACGTCACATGCCCCGAAGGCTACTCTGCTGCCAACGGCACCATGGAGTGCAGCAGTCCTGGTAAGTGATGCTCGGGCACCTTTCACTGAGCTTTTTGTGCATCGGTCAGCTCCAGTCGCATGTATTGCTGCAGTTTGGTTTAGATGATAAGACGAACCCCTCGGAGACGATGGCTCATCGTACCCATGTTGAGTGGGTGACGGTACAGGCCGGAGCCAGCCCTTCAGAGGGCAGAGCCCTCTGGAAGCCAGCCTAGACGGGGCGCAGCACCCCAGCATTGCCGCTGCGCGTCGGTGAGGCGTGACTCAGAGTTCATGCAGTATGGCAAGGAAGGGGGTGCCTTGAAAGCTTAGGAAGCTGCTGGGGAAACACATGTACCCTTCAAGCCAACAGTGGGGGAGAGGTGCAATGGTATGCAAGGGCTCCGGGAAGTCCCGAGGCAGCAATGGAGAAATGAGAGTTACTCCTGGCCTCTCCTGTTATCTGGCAGCACAATGTGAAATGAGTGAATGGGGGCCCTGGGGGCCCTGCTCCAAGAAGAGGAAGCTCTGTGGCTTCAAGAAGGGCAATGAAGAGCGAACGCGGCGGATTCTGCAGGCTCCCTCCGGAGACGTGTCCCTGTGTCCTGCCACCACGGAGGTGCGGAGATGCACCGTGCAGAAGAACCAGTGCCCTGAAGGTGAGCAGACGTGGAGCACCTCACCATCCCTCCCAGCACCCTTTATTTGCCAGGCACAAATATTCAGCCAACTTTCCAGTATCATAAATGCGCTGCACATCACACTACCCCTTTACGGTACAGGGAACATGATGTGGTGGCAGCTAGAAAGACCCCTGGGTGGGTGATCCTCAGCACGGCTTGACACGTGTCCCATGGGCTTTCAGATATTTTATTTTTTTCCCTGGCCAGAGAGCAGCAAGGCAGCTGAGCAGGTGAAGGTGTACGCCTGTGCGCTGCAGTGATGGGAGTCGTCTTCTGCTCTACCGGAATGCTTAGGTCTGTGTTTTTCCCAGGAATTAGAGTGTCTTCAGGATGAATGGTGGTTTGGTCATCCTCTTATGGGATGGACGAGGATTGCAGCTGGGTTGAGCGTTATGAGGGAAACCGGTTCTGGGCAGTGACTAACACCACAGGGATTAAACAGCCGGGCAGGGGGAGGCAGACACGGCCGATCCGTTCCTCTGGTGCACACAGCAGCGTGCGTTAGCTAAGGGGCTTGGTATGCAGCCGCAGAGAAATGCAAGTGTTAACACTTCTGCTGGAGACCGACAATTACAAAGCTAAATCCAGGTTTGATCCTTCTTGCCTGTTTGTATTTAGGCAACGGCTCGCAATGCAAAGCACAGCCTGGCAGACGGGGCAGCTCTCGGGCACCTCTGTGCGTGGGGAGGGGCGCAGGCCCTTCGGGCCAGCCCCCACGGCAGCGGGCCGCGGGCCAGCTCGCTCTGCTGGAGAGCCTCACCGTGCCCCTTTGCTTTACTGCAGGGAAAAGGAAGAAAAAGGAAGAGCAAGGAAAGCAAGATAATACGAATGGGAATAGAAATCGGAAAGACACCAAAGACGCTAAGTCTGGCACCAAGAAGAGGAAGAGCAAACAGAGAGGGGCCGCGGTCCCTGCGACGTCTGCTAGCCCTGCCCAGTAGCTGCCCCTGACGTCACCTGACGGCAAGACTTCATTGCTGCTATGTATATGAAAGCTTTATTGAACCAGAGCACTGCTACACAACACGTACATATGTCCAGAAAGACAGACATATACTCCCAGACTGACCCACAGACCCGCCAGAAACCACATACACAATACTTAAGGAGGCTGCACACACACCACCCAGGACCGCAGAAGGATGCTGCCGAGAAGAGGGGTGGGAGCCCCCATGGAGGGAAGCCCACCTCCCCAGGGCTCGGGGGGGGATGCTGTGGGGAGGAGAGGTGGAGTAGGAGTCAGCAAAGGACCCAGACCTGAGACTTCATGACCAAAGGCCTCAACTTGAGACCAGCCCTGTGGCCCCAGCGCAGCATGGCTGCAGCCAGCGGGACGAGACTGGACCCGCACGGCCGCTCTCCCCGAGCTGGGACCTGGACTCGTGCAAAGGCAATGGCCTCTTTCTCTTCCCCCCACCCTTTATTTTGTGTTTTAAGCTGTATGACTTTATCATTGCGAATACATGTTAAACGTTTGTGGTAAGAGGTCAGTGGTATCTGCCCTGAATTTGCTTCAAAGAGTTATTTCAAATTAAAAAACAAAAACCAAAATGACAACCAGCTTCCTGAGTGTGTGGTTCATGCCTTGGCCCCTATGGAGGCTGATGTCCCACAGGACAGAGACTCACTTGTGGAAGGGAATCTCACCAAAGGTTTAAGAAAATTCCAGAAAATGTTGCCAGCTGCACTGCAGCCACAAATCAGCCGTCCTGCGCTCGCAGGACCCCAGCTGTGCTCCACAGAGCCCCTGAGGAATTTCCCACTGAAGGATCCAGTTAACACGCAGCAGACTGAGAAAATGAGAGGTTACAACAAACCGCAGGTTGCCGAAACATTGTGACTCTGCTTGTACAGTCACAGCTGCGGGACTCCATCCCGGGCTGGGGACACGCTTGTCCGTCTGCCCGGATGCTACCGAGGCGCGTAGCAGGAGGGAAGGCAGGCGGGAGGGGGAAGGCACAGTTCAGGCTCTGCAGAAGAAAAGCAAACTCTTAAGTTTGGTAGAAACTACTGGTCTGGATGCCATCGACTGGAATTCCCTGGATGCAGCACAAACGCTCCTGCTCTGCAAGAGCCGATACCTGGGCAGAGGAACCGGGACGAGGACCGTGCAGGACAGAGACCTGTTGAGACCCGCGTGGGGCGCACGTGAACGCTGCCTTCTCTGCGCGGACAGCGTCACCCTCAGCAGTGTCGCGAGGTGGCATACTGCTCAGTTTCCCTTATATTTTAAGATGTGCTTCCTCGCTATAAATCCGTGCAGATACTTAATTGCTCTAGAGTTCAGCCAAAGCCCTTTGGTGCCGAGGGTCAGAGCCCGGGGAGGTGCCGTGGCTCCCAGAGGCGTGCCCGGGGTGGATCAGTGATGTGCTGCTCAAGCTTCGGGTTTCCGTGGTAAGGTGATGGGCAGGGAAAAGCTCACCCCAAAGCTAAACTTGGTGAATACACTCTCCGCTGCGCTTGCATTCGTACC